TGAGAACTGGCGACTTTGTAGTACAACTTTAGTACGCAGAGTAGCTGGGGAGCTGGAAGATGAGAACTGGCGACTTGGTAGTACAACTTTAGTACGCGGAGTATCTGGGGAGTGGGAAGATGAGAACTGGTGACTTGGTAGTACAACATTAGTACGCGGAGTATCCGGGGAGCTGGAAGATGAGAACTGGCGACTTGGTAGTACAACTTGAGTACGCGGAGTATCTGGGGAGCTGGAAGATGAGAACTGGCGACTTGGTAGTAGAACTTTAGTACACGGAGCAATCTGTGGAGCTGGAAGATGAGAACTGGCGACTTTGTAGTACAACTTTACTACGCGGAGGTGACTTTCGAGAGGTGAAGAACTTGCAGAAAACAGGTGTTCCTGCGCTTCAGAAAGACATACAGAGAGAGACACATACACACACAGACATAGATACACACACACAGAGACCCACACACTGCCTCAACACACTCGACTTAACACTTCACACTGAACACTTATAACACACTTAACAGATAACTCGCACTCTGACTTCCTACGTGATGAAAAATGCTTTCGGGCCACTCGTCGTCTAGTTTTTTTGTGTGTTCAACCGTTGCCTTGGAAGAATCCTCATGACTAGTGATTCTCAGGTGGGATTGACAACACCAACCACAACCAAGATTCAATCCTATTGCAGATATTTGTAAGCAATACGAAGAGCTTCTATCCTTACTCATATGAAGAGCTTCATAGTCAATCTCATTGTAACCCATATGCTAAGCTCTTCGTTTGGCGCAAGTGGGGTGACACTCCCCCAGTGCCCGGCTACATCGCTACGCCGCCGGAGGCGTGCCGCCAAGCCTTCCAACTTGGAGCACTGGCGCCGGCAGGGCTGGTGCGCCCGGGCGACAGGATGGGCGCTGGAGGAAGGGAAGTCACCGTCACGTGGTGAGCAGGCCCGTCGGCAGGCCCTGAGCGAACGTGATTTTTCTGCGGAATTCCTATCACCTCGTGGTGGGCATATTGGGCGGCCAGAGGTGCCAAGAGTGCTGGAGGGAGGTTGATATATTTCATAATGTAGATAGCTTGGTGTGGAACAATTTATATAATGTCATGGAGTCATGCATCATGCATATGTTTGGAAGGACGGGTGCAATTAATTCTACACCAGTTGGGAACAATAGGAAGTCATTTGCATTCGAGTCATCTGCCATTCTGCACTGGTCCGAAGACTGTGAGGCATTTTCGGGTCCAAGGTTCCCGTTCCCATGGTAGTTTTTGGATGTTCAGCCTTAACATTCCCAACATTAGCCCTTCATCCGGGTGGGATGTTGAAATATGTTGAAAATCATGGAAAGACATGTGCTGCATTAGTTAGTTAGTTTGTTCGTTTGAAGGAACGGAACGTCTATATAATATAGGTGCCGTTGATGTGTCACATTTGTCACTCTGATGTGTCACTGCGCTGTAAAGACGTTGCTGTTGTTCGGGTTGCGCAGCAGCTAGACTCTGCACAGAAAAAGGGAGAGAGAGAGAGAGAGTGAGAGAGAGCTGTTGCTGTTACCTGGACTGCACCTGATGGTGGCGCCAGGTGGGTTTTGACAATGCTACCACAGATCGAAGCCACTCCAGAAGTGCCTCTGGTGTCCTGACCCCAAAGTCACGCGTGGGGAAGGGGGAGAAGCGAGGAGAAACATGCTCTTTGTAGTGTTCTAGGCCAAGCCCCGGCATGTAACTATAAAAATGGTTAAATATCAAAAACATATAAAAAGTATAGACAAGGCCTCGTTGTGCCTTCAATGAGAGAGGAACTGTCATTTGCCATTTGCCACAAATAGGAGTTATGCTAGTGGTCCCCGTACCGTGCTGCTGGGTGATGCTCCTGCACCAGGTCCAGGTGGGCTGTTTGGGAGGATTTTCCCACATCAAATGGCACACAGCAACGTCCAAGTCCGAAGGGTGTGCCCTCCTTCCGCCTCAGTCCGCCTCAATCGCCTCCTACACACCCGCCGCCGCGGTGTGTCGAACTTCGTCGGGCGCGCGACGAAGCACTCCAGGCCCGCCTGGCGGCGAAGAGTCTGAAGTTCGCACCGCCCTCCTGGCTGTTGAACGGCACCTGGGCCCCTGGGTCGGCACCGGAGACGGGAGGAGCGGTCAAGTGGTCGTTCCCCTAAGTGGAAAAGCACCCGTTGGTAGGGGAAACTGTTCATCCCAAATCATCCAAATAGATCCGAGGGGCCATTTTCCGCCTCAACTTCAATGATTAATTATATATTTCAGGGAGTGTACAATACCAGTTGATCAAAGGGCTCCGGTAGGGTTATGGCTGGCTGGTGGTGATCGAAGATGAATTGAAGCTGGGTTCCATGAATGTGGCCAAACACTCCTTTGCAGGCGATTGGGCATTCGGCATTCGCATGCCATTTTTGGTGGTGCAGGATGATTTCCATCAACAGTAGTGCTGAAATTAGGAGAAGACATGCTTGCGCAGGTTGGTTTATTAAAAGTGTATATAATGCACTACAAAACTCAAAGGGTTGTTGACCGCTACCACCAAGATGAGCCAGCTGACCACCCAGCTAACTGACCAGCTAACCGCGCCGTACATGTGGAGACTTAGTGATCAGAGTTAGTTTCTCAGACCTCCCGTCAGTTTGAGGATTGGCTCGTGGAATTTGACGGTGACATCTCCGTCGACCTTGGGGGCTTAAGGGCCCTGGTGGATGAGCATTCGGACAAGCCGCTCTTGCTGCTCAAGTGGCCCCTTTGGCTGCGCATGGCGTTGGACGCACCTGTCACACGCACGTGTTTTACACGCACGTGTCACTTGTCACGTTTCCTAGGCCGGAGAGCGACGCCTAGGATGAGGTCTCACGGTCTCCCAGCTTTTTTGTTCGAGCATCGTAGGCGGTGTAGCTAGCTAGCTGCTGGATTAGCCGTTGAAGGTATTGGCGCCAGTGTGCTCCGTGGGACTGCTTCGTCCAAGAGTGTGACGACATGCTGACGAAGAGGAGGGATTATGTGAAGACCTCCTACGAGAAGGTGGTGAAATGGAAAGAGGAGTCTCGGCATGGCACGGACGCACCTGGCCTTCCCCACTGGGATGCCTATCCTGCTGGCACCTGTCGATGTTCTTTCATGTTCTTTCTCAGTTGGCCTGCTAAAGCGATTAGAGGCGGGTCAAGTGGTGAACCAGCCAAGGCGACGATGAGTTCATTGTATGGTTCCTGACATGCAGGGCTTGATTATAGATGGAGTCAGATAGATGTCAGAAACAACGTTTGGATGGCAGTTGGAGGGCTGGAAACTCCACAGCGTTTTCAACCGCTCACCGCTCTTTGAGATTCAAGACTCTTATCGCTCCGTGAAAATTCCTCATTGCTCCAAGACCACATCTCAGATCTTGATGCCAAGGAGCTCACCAAGTACCACAACGACCCTCTGAAGCCCTTTCTGCCCGCGGACTACTATGTGGCCTGGCGGAGAACGTTTCAGCAGGCTGTTGACTCAAGACCGACGGGGATCCCGGATCCATTTCACCCAGCTGATGGGCCCTGATGGGCAGAGTGGACGTGACTCAAGGCAGGATAATAGAAAGATCCCAGGTAAACATCTAGAAACTGATTTTGGAAGCTACACAGCTGATGCTGCCGCAACAAGTCTCGCCAGGCATGGCCAACATGAAAGATGGCCGGTATAAAAGTACAGCACACCCCCATCACCCTCATCCCTGCAACAATCATGAAGTGGACCACCCCCTCTTGGTAGAGGAAAATCGTCTTCCCTGTCCACGTAATTAGCCATGATTGTTTCAGCGAGTGTAATTACTTCTGAGACAGGCCATTCCCTTTCACCAGTTCTTAGACTTCCCCCCCAGGCCGTTGCCTGGAACCTGCGCAGGAGCTGGGCATCATCTTCCGACAGGTCTCGCACCCCAGGGCGTTGGACGTGGAAATCGCCTTTCGCCAGGCGCTGCAAATCTGCTTTGCAGTGAGCTTGGCGTTTTGAGGCCATCCAAGGAATGCTTACTGCATACATTCTGAAATTTAGACAACCTTGGAATATTCGCATTTCATTGGATCAATGATTACTTGGACTCGTTCAACGGGAAGGTCCCTTGTTTTTGGGTTTTAATGTGAAGACGGAGAGGTGCCGAGTTTTCTAGGGAGGTGCAGGCTCGGCTCAGGGGTCAGGCCTTTCACGGGTTTCTCCGGTTGCAGGTGCTGGAGCAGTGCCGGAGCATCCAGCGCGATCAGCCGCTCGGCTCCGCTCGACTGAAGTAGCCGAAGGGTAGCGGGGACTGGTTGCATGGTCCTGGTAAGTGGGTGGGTGGGTCGGAGGTAGAACCGTGTGGTTCAGGAAAGTCTCTTGGGCTGTTATGCCTGTGAGAAGTAAAGTGGCTTCAAGTGATGTTGACTGGAATAGTTGAATAGTCCAAGCCACTCGTACTGGTTGCCTCTCAGAGTCCTTGAGGATCTTGCTATAGTAATATCATAAGCTTACTTTCAGCCCTTCATCCTCGCGAGAGTTTGGACATGCTGGCCATCCCTTAGATGCTGTTTCTTCAAGACTGGGCTGCTTCAACTTTTTGTTCCTCACAACTCAAAACTCAACTCCATGACGCTGCTCCCTTGCCTCTTTGCAATTTCTATTTTTTGGGGGGTCCTATATGGTATCAGGATGTATCAGGTATCATCTGAAATATTGAAGGCACACCTTGCAAATACATTTCCAACGAAGCAATGGCAGCTCTAGAGATCCCAGCTACCGCGGAGGGCACGTCCAAACACCTGTGTTTGGGAACCGCGTGCCGTTCCACGTGGACCAGGTTCCTGGTGCCCTTCTACCTGTGGAGCACTGAACGGGAAGACGGGGGCAGGTTGGGCGAGGCGGAGCGGTTCGTTCGATCCAGGAGGTGTGTGTATGTTGGGCCAAGGTACAGACCCGCAGATATCCACAGGGTAGGGTTCCAGACCCTCTTCGAGCTCAAGGTGCTCCAGCATGGGATGATGGATGGGTTTTCGGGCTCAAAGAGCTCCAGCATGGGATGATGGTGGAGGTCAAACACGGGATCGGGGGGGACCCTCGCCATGAAAAGTGAGGAATAGGGTGTGGTGTCGCGATGGGAGTTCACAGTGGCTGCATCATATTTCTGGGCTGAGGCCGTAGACTTCTAGACTCTAGACCTCTCCGCACGGAGTTCTTTCAGTCAGCCATTAGCCATTGGGGTTGAAGTCGGTCCAGAGGAATTTAATGGAATTGACCTGGTGCTTGGCTAAAGGCAGTTGACCAAGGCTTCTTGATCCATTGCAGCTTCTGAAAGAAACACCGTACAGGTCTGGCGGCATTCAATTTACTGGGTCCATCATGCAAAACTACAGTACGTCAATGAGGTCGTTCAGCTTCCAGGTGGTACTTGGGCCCTTGGACTGGCATGGATCGGTTGCAGCTGATTCTTGCCCTCAAAGACCGAGGACCACATCGACCCCCGAAACCAGTGGGTTGTAGAGGCAAATGATCGAAACCACCCAGGGTCCATGGGATCGTCAGCTTGCACACCTGCGAGTTCGTCGCTCAGGAATGCTTCACTGGACAAGGAGGTTGTGGCACTCTCCATTGAGAAGCTGTGGCTGTGGCATTTCGCGTGGGAGAGGAATGGGTGATGCTTGCTGAGCCTCAAACTTCAGCAGAAAGCATAGTGATGGTTCATGCCATAATTGATTGCCTTTTACTATTGGCTGGTTGATGAATACAGGGGGTTACTGCAGTAGATACCCCCAAATGTACCACCAACAGGTACATGGTACCAAACCGACCCCTCTATTCTTCGCAAAAAGGACAGCACTGGTTCATGATTGTTCCAATCCGGGCGGGATGGGGATGTCCGAACCATTTTGGATGGGCTCAGAACGGGGGGAGGCTGCCAGGCTCAGAAGCTTTGGCAATCTTGGGGGTTTGATCCTCAAGATCCCAACGGAAGGGTCATCTGGACTGTTGATGTATGATGAGGACATACCAGAATGGCGGTTGCTGGGATTTTTGGGCCAGACGGATTGGTGGGGGCTAGGGCTTGTGGCTAGCTTGCTGTGCTCGATCTACCGTACTCACCACGGCGCACCCTTGGGCTGGCCCTCTCAGCCGGTCCCAGAGACCCGGGATCGGTCGACCGGACCGGACCGGACTCCAAGGTATTCCCAGCTGCAGTACTGTGTGGTGGCGACCCGCCAGGGGCGTGGCTGAGCGGCAGTACTGTTGGAAGGAGGTCATCCATTTCTCATCATCCGCCATCGGGCGATCCCTATGGCCCTATACCCTTCAAGGACACTGAAAAGTGGAGGTCAGTTCGGGTGACCCTGGTGTTGTAGTCGAACACCCTTCGTAAGGCTGGTAAAGAATATAAATTTTCTCGATCAAAGCCACGAGGTATCATGAGATCAATGGTCCTGTGGTGGTTGGAATCCGACTTTATTGAAGGTGAGGTCCGGAATAGGATGAATTAGGGTCTTTTCTTATCCAGATGGATGTCAAATGGATTTGTATGGATCCATATGGATGCCCATGCAGACATGCGCATCCTACGTTCAGCCACGAAAGTACATCCTGACATTGAAGGGTTCAGATAAGTACAGCCCCACATGCTCATCTCAATTTAGGTGGGGGCTCTCACCCCCCAAAAAATAACAAACATCAAATGTATCCCAATTCTGGAGTGCAACCAATACGTGCGGCTTCCTTTTTGTGGCTGGTTCCAGAGCCTCTCATTCTGAGCGATTTTCCCTACAGGATCTAGCAGATTCTCTCCTTGGTCCCCAGAATCCGACGTTTCACGTCGTCGGGGAAACCGGTCCAAACGATCGGTGAGCTCGCCTCGAGGCAACCTCCTCACCGAGCAGAGCCCGGAGCGGCCGGAGCGGCACCAGGCGGACGGACCGGACACCGATGATGCACCTGAAAGAAACTGGTCTCCAGGAGACTTGGAGGTTCGAGAATTCGTGAACTTTGGGGGTGAAATGTTTGCCTTTCCGAAGAAAAGCCGCAAGGCCTTAATATTGGAGGCATCGGCATCGGGGTGGAAGAGGTCTGTCTTTTGTATAAGAGCTTTGTTGGCAGATCAGGGCAGATCAGCAGATCATCTATGACTGACAGACCTGTTTTCAATGTGTTGCTTTCTGTGTTTCCACCGCGTTCCACTTCCCCTCCCACCCACACCCACGCACCACCCTCACGCCGACGAGCGGACTCGTCCTCGGCTCCGGCTCCAGCACCCCGCCGTCCGCGTCCGGTGGTCCGACGTGCTGCCCTCGTCCGTGCGTTCGAAAGCCTTCGCCATGGCTCCATGTGAAGATGACATCGCCACGGCCTCCACCGGATGGGACCGTCAAGTGTCGCCGGAGGTGGAGGAGCGCGAGTGGAATGCCCGCGGTGGTCGTGCGGGGAGGGAGGAAAACGATCGGATTTTCATGGCAAGATCCGGGTGAGATCTGGCTGTGACATCGGATGTCACACTTCGGATGTCGGCTTTGAGGTGCTTCGAGCTGAATTGGTCCATTGCAAAGGACGAAGATGTTCAAAGAAGGACAACATATTGGACTGGGCGACCAGCTAGGAGACACCCCCTGGAACTAACATGGAAGTGGAAAGCCACTTTTTTGTAGAGGAATATGATATGGTCTTCAATGGTCTTCCAAGGGCCCATTGTCATTCATGTTCGACTTCCATGTGTCATGGAGCAAGCAGTGAATCCGTCGCTGCAACTGTAGACGATAGTATCGATACTTAGGGGCTATAGAAGTGCTGAGTGGACAATCAGTTAACGGACACCTTTGTAGCAAGGGTTGTGCAATCAACAGTCAGTGATTCGATAGCCTACTGTTTGAATTTTCCTTAAGTGTCAGGGTCACTACGAACAGATGAAGAAGGGATAAGACGGGTGAAACTTGATTTTCACCACATCACTGGGTCATTGTCACTGGTCTCTTGGAAGCACGGCTACACCGCTACACGCATTCAGGAGGGCTACACGGTGATCCGAGATTTGGGCAGTGGAAAGTTTGCATGGGTCAAGGAAGTTCAGCAGACGCATGGCTCCGGAAAGTTGCAGTCACAGGCATAGGGTCATTTCAGGAGATTGTCGCGAGGGGCCTCCATCCACAGAAGCATGACATGGTTTTGTGGCAGGAAACCTGCAATTCTGGCCCATCGCAGTGTTTGGCTGGAGGACCCTGTGTCACAACCACTAAGATTCACAGCCAGAGCTCGGTGGAGCCCCCATTGGACATTACTGACTGGACATCATTTTTGATATCTAGGCTAGGTGTGTTCGGGTTTGGACCCGGGAAATCTGAAATCGTCCCTGCAAAAGCTCGGATCCTGACCAGAGAAACATCCCAGGGTCACCCAGGGTCCAATGTTACCCGCTACTTCCAGTGTCCAGTGGTGAACTTTCAGCATCCATGGCACTTGGGGGTGTACACCCGGGAAGATTAACATGGAACCTAAAAATTGACCTTTGGAAGACTATTTTCTATTTTCCTCTACAACCCAGTGGTTTTTAGGTTCCATGTTAATTTTCCAGAGTATATTTGCCTTTGCTCTTTTTTGCTTGCCGGGATCTTCCTGGTTCATTTGGTGAAACCTTCCTATCACTCCCAAGAGATCCCCTGCAGACTCAAGGAAGGGGAGCAAGAAACGCTTCGCGTGGAAGCACGTGGTCATGGAGAAGAATCCCCTCTGCGAAGTGGAGGTGTGATTGGAGGATCGTGTGAGGGGACCAGTGGAGAAGAAGGGATACACTGGAAGTATAAGAACCAGGACTAGTTTTGACGAGATTTTCGAGGTTCTCCAACTCCAGTTTTGAAGCAATCAATCATCATTCCCGGGCTAATGTACGGCACAAGTTGTCGCCTTGGGAAGTCTAAAGCTCACAACTTCCAAGCCAAGCCATTCCCGAGGATGAAACACATGGAAGCCATTCTCCGGAGGATGAAAAACCCGTGCTTTTCACACGCTGACCCACTGGTAAGAGCTTGGCAACGCCCATCGTTCCCCATGCCGAGCGGCCGAGCTGAACACCGACTCAGCTCGAGTCCCGAGTCCGAGCAGCTCCGTCAGAGGTCGAACTGCTGCGTCGCATGAAGCATGAGAACATCGTTGGCATCCATGATGTGTACTCCGCATTTGGAGTCATGGACATCATGCTCGAGCTGTGCAAAGGTGGCAGCATGAGGCGGGGGGAGATCCAACCGCGCAGGCTTACGCTGTGTGTCACCCCTAAAGCAGCTCCCCATTGCTTCAGCCACGGCCATGTTGAGTCACTGGACACCGGGGCCGTCGCAGGGAGTACATGCTGTCCAAATCCGAAGAAGTCTTTCGCGGCTGCACGGTCTACGAACCTCCTGAACCATCAGAGGTTCGCAACACGATGCACCAGTGCCTTGGCAAAACACGTGACGTGACGACCGTGACAATCCCTTGTTCCCAGGATGCTCACTTCTGCCAGAAGCTCCGGCAATATGCGCGTCGTTTGCATCAGCAGGTGGGACAGCTTGATCAGCTATCCTGTTACATCCTGTTGCCATGAACCAACATAACAATAGTATAAAGACAATCATTACATCCTCATCCTCGGTGGGACATGGGTTCTTTCAGAAACCTCCGTGCAGGCTTGACCTCGCAAGACCGACCCTCGCAAGACCCGGAGCTCCCCCGTATACTGGTTATACCTTTTTAACTACGTGAGGGAACACGGAGCAGCACACTGACGTGTTCAGGGAAACTTGTTTGCCCCCTCCGTCCAAAGACATGGAGCCCGAAACAGCAGGGTTCCCATAAGAGTCATTCTACTGGTTTGTTCAGTTCTTTTTTGCAGACGGATGGCTCTACCAAAGGGATATATATATATATATTATGATATATAGTTCTTCGCACAATCCCCAACTGAATTGTTCAACCTTTTTGTAGACCAACATGCGAGATCTTCGACTTTTGTGTAGACCAACATCCGAGATTTGTGCCACGGTGCTTTAGGAGGATATCGTGGTACCAACCATTGTCAAGTTGCACCCGGGTCGAAGATGGTTCATTGATCTTCAATGGTTGGTACACCTGTTTGAGGATTGTCTTAACCAACCACCAGTCAGCACACAGCAACGCAATCCAAGGCTCTTGACGGCATTGAATTTCCTGCATGGAAACTTGGTAGCGCACCGTGACATCAAGCCGGACAATGTGTTGCTTGACAGCAGGTAAAAGACCTTCAGGAGTGAGCCTTGTGTGAACTTGGTGATCAGTTGCACTCCTAGACATGCGCGATCAGTTTGGTTCCTCTTCTCTCAGTGAAGATGATCTTGGAAACCTTGTCCAAGATGACCCATATCATATGACCGACCTCATCCATGCTTCATCCTTCTGCCCCACCTTTGATCCCCTTCGTCCTTACCATGCGCAGCATGGGAACACATGCCGAAAGCTGCTGGGCCGATCCAGAAACTGGGTTTGTCCCCCTCCAGCGATTCGGACCTGGGACTGATCAGTGCATTGAGCATTGGAAGTCATCAGTCTCTCCCAGCGTTCCGTTCCGGAACGGCCAAGGCTCCTGTCCTCGCGCGGCCGATGGAAGACATGGAAGCTGGCGGATTTCAACCTGGCCTGTGAGTTCGAACCCAAGAGCCCCTGGGACACGAGATCCCCGGGTCTCGAGACGTCTCGGCTTCCGGGCTTGGCATGGACCAGACTGGAAGACGATGTTCCGCCAAAAAGACCCAGAGGTTTTCAAGTTCCATGTGGACCTCTTCCAGAGTGTAGGTGACATGTGACATACTAATGGACATAGTGGAAATCCAAGCCGCGGGGCGGGCGCCGCTTGCTTTGGTTGGCCGTGAAGCTGGGAGAACATTTCGCCGGTGGTGGCCAGCAGAGGACACCCATGTATGGTTGTCCAGAAGAATTGATGGAGAAGGTCCAGGTCCCTCTAGTGTCAAACCTGGAATTGAGCAGGAGCAGTGTCCAAGCAATTAGATCAGATCAATTAGCATACAGTTTAGCAACTGTGAGGCCCAAAAGAGTCCTCAGGTTTGGGCCAGCTGTTCAATCTTGGGTCAACACTACTCCGGGTTGCCGAAAACTCCTGTGAATGTAGACTCTTGATTGATAAATCCCCTGATGAATAGGTTTTAAAATCATCATTTGAAATTTCCCTTACGATATGGGGTGTCCTAGGGTCCATTGTACGTAAGTACTGTAGCCATTTTGGCAATTTTGTAAGAATGATTTTTTCTAGCCATTTTGTAGCGGTACATTTGGTGATCTTACTGGGTGGCAGGCCATGCCATTTTACGAGACAACTTTGTCAGGATTTGCATTTGTAAGGATGCGGCCACTTCCAAGAGCAATCAGGATTTGGATTTCATCTTGTAAGAGACATAAAGCTGCTACAAAAAGCCTTGCCTAGGGTCACTTTCAGGTTGACTCTGACAATTGACTGTACATGAGATCAATCCTGGCATTTTGTAAGAAAGGAATGTGTAGCACACACACACACATCACATATCAGCACATGCATTTTGTAGCATTAATTCTTGAAATGCAATAAAATGCCTATGTCATTTCTATGTGTAAAAAAGTTCATCTACGAGCGCACAGATATGTCTCTGGGAACAATCATTTTGTAAGAAGTACCATGTCTCATACCTCCCAATTTTTGCCACTGGGAACCATCATTTTGTAAGAAATCAGCATTCGACAGTGGTGCACACCAGTCATTTTGTACAACTCGATACTTCAATAAAAGATGCGCCTTGCATTTTGTAAACCCAAAACCGTTTTATAGTACAAAATGGGGTATCCTAGGTCCACCATGCTAATTTCAAAGACGATGCTTTAAAATAGTTTACAATCCCACATGGGGGGCTTTATGAATCAATATTATATATATGATATAACTCTATATTTAAATATGTACATAGATCATAGATAATACTATTTCATATTAATTCAGAGTCTACCGTACTCTTGTGACTGCCGAACAACTCTGGTGGCACTTCCACCAGGTCCGGACGCGCGCCACCGAGGCCCCATGACCGAGACGGTGGGAAGTCGTCCCTTCACCGCGCCGGAGGTCTACGAGGGACACTACACTGAGACTCGACCGGCGCTCACATGGCGGAACGGTTTTTGGGGTCAACAGGTGAACGGCTTTTGGAAGCTTTTGGTGGTGGGTTGCTGCAGACTGGCACACGTCTCTTTAAACATGTGCACTACATACTGTGTGATGTAAATACGTTAGAACATTGCACTAAAATTAACATCTAAAGGACACATGTTTACGGAACATCTGCAACGGGGCGAACCTTCCACCTTGAATAACACTTCAACTGAAAGACGCAAAGGGGGTGCAAAGGGGGTTTGAGGGACCTTTCGCCCACACACATAGCGAAACATTTCTAGCTTTTTGGCCCCCGACCGCCAGGAAAAGTGTGATCTCTACAGCATGGGAGTTCTTTTCATTGCCTTCGTCACAGGGCTCATGTACACGGGGAAGGACTGCGAGAACGATCCCAAAAACAAGAAGGACGTGGAGGACAGGTTGGCCGTTTGGTGTGGGCTTTGAGGAGGACGAGCTTCTTGTGGCCCATCCATAAACATGCACAATATAACCTAAGTTACTTGCAGTAGCTCCAACAGCATGTTTGCTTCCTTGATGCCATGCCACATCATGCCACCGAAAAAGCACGGAATTGCTGGATATCGCTGGGGGGAAGACCAACAGGGGAACCGAACCGCTGATGGAAAAGCTGCGATGGCTTCAGATTCAGCAGCATGAGTTAAATATGGATTTCTGTGCCATGCGAAGGAATCACATTGATCGAGCTGAAACGTTTGGTAATTTATAGGATATTATATAGTCATTAGTAATTTTGTGTAATTTATTAGTATTAGGTTTAAAAGAGCCTATGAAGGTGGTGGCGCAGATGGAAAGCCACTGGGCCACTGGGTGCCGCAACTCAGCTCTTTTTGTTTCCGCACACTGGGTTGCTAGGGACATGCAGGGATCTGAAAAGAGTCGGTTCCCTTTGCCCCTTTTCATTCGCCAAGTGTTTGATCCAGGTCTCGTGAAAACAACATGTTGACCCGGCGGCCGATGTTCCTTGGTCCATTTCGGTCTCCCAGAATCGGTGTTCGGAACATTTGTAACATGAAACCATGGCCATGGTTTTCACCTCCGAAACTATATTGAACAGGATTGAACAGGTGTCCTCTCGTATTGAATCACGTATAGATATGTTCCCTTGAACATCCCTACTACACCACTTCTGGCACGCTCCACCTCCGCCTCTCCTCACCCGGCGAGAAGCTTTGGGACGAGAAACGCTGGAACCGTCGTGCGGGCAGTGGCTCGATGGACCTGGCAAAGAAGATGATCGCACCTGAGAAGGACGAAGCCACCGTGGAAGTGGTTCGCTTGAAAAACGGGATGGACCGACTCTTCGTGCGGATCAGAATGACCTTTGGGCGTTGGAGAATATGGGGCATCTGATGGGTGAAGCACATTTAAACAAACTTGCAAAGCTGCAAAACACAATCACTGCGTTGGCCTCGAGCCAACGCAGGTGATTCAACGGGTCAGACCCGTCACGGCTGTTAGTGGCTGTGAGTGACGGGTCGGATCCTCCGTCCTCTGGGGCCTCTGGGGTCGGTCCAGCACGGCCGCATACGGTCGCCTGGTTTGGGTTCCACAGCCAAGTCCCAGAAGAAACCTGGCGAACCTTTGTGAAGATCCTGTTCTTTGGAGTCTTCGGACTAGCTCGGGACCCACGTCCTGTTCGTTCGGACGTGTGGATGTGACGTGTGTTCGGTGGCCGCAGCTGTTGGGAGGCCTCCGTTTTCACCCCAAACTGGAAGGAGTTCTTCTCGGAAACTCTCGGAAAGAGTAGGTTTTCTTCTTTCTTGTGTTGGGTAGGTTTTTTGTTGATGCCTTGGATCGAGCAGGTGAGCTGACTTGACAGAGGTGTGGAGCGGACAGTCCCAATCAGAGATTCCTGGCTGGTGCAATGAAGCGCGGTACTTGGCGGCCTTTTGTGTTCACAAGCCAGGGCCGTGAAAGGGGTCGATCGCTAATCAGATAGCCGCTAGATCCTAGGACCCACTGGGACCTAACTCTCAAACGAAACGCTCAAGAGCACGCCAAAACAATGGCCCCGCCATGGACCAAAAGAACCCAAAAGCCCACCACCTCCCCTTCTTCCGGTTGGAACAAAGCCCTCGCCGACCCAAAGGCCGACCGGTCCGGCTTTCCACACCCGGCAGGACCGTTGCCATGCAGAGGAGGCCCTCCGCACGATGTTGGCCCAGCTGCGCAGCTCTGGAGCCTCCGAGGGCGCTTGTTGCGTGATCGCTTGAGAGAGCGGGTGGCACCGAGAGCTTGCACTCTCGGTGGCGCTGCCCAAGCAGATGCGCGGGGACGTGCAGGGAGAGGGGGTGGAGGGTAGAGTATGCCGGTGTGCCAAATAAAGTGCCAAATCAATAATTAACTATTTATTTTGTGGATAATTGGCTATATCACATACCGTGGGAGACGGTGGTGGAGATGGACATATTTGATCAACTCTCAGTGGGTGCGTCAGTGTTTTGGGCTTTTCCCCCGGCCCTCCATTCCAAATGTTTGTTTCGAGGGTTGTTCCTACTACAGGACAACCCCGAGAACCGTACAGGCAGGGGCCATGCCCCTACAACTGCACTGGATAGGCCTGTGCTGCATGCGCCTGTCCCGAAATCGGCTCATCCGATCTCGAGTTTTGGCTTGGGACCTGGCGCCCGGCACTCGTAGTCGCGTCACGTCCGTCGGGGGCCAACTCGGAGGTTGTGAGCATAGGACAAGGTACGAGCACTCCTCGCATGTGAGGGTCCAGGAGCAGACAGACATCATAGACATGGGCCATCAATGGCAACTCCATGATAAAAGTAGAGTATCCATGATATGCCGCTTGGTCACCGATTTAGTATTTTTTAATTATTCAAGAAGATGTTGGACCCCATCCAGGACGACTTTTAGCGTACAGTCTCACCGGACCCTGCACGGCCGGGGAGAGGTGGCACGCAGTGGTATGGTACGATGGCGAGCTGTGTTGCAAGTTGAGAGCTGTGAGGGGTGGAGACGGTGGACAGCAGCCTGGGCCCTCGGGCACGCATTCAAACTGATCAATTGATCCTCGTACTGAAGTTGGGTGTCGTCATATTCCATCATTTTGACTGTGCAACCCATTATAGTTCATGCCAGAGAAGATGTTCACAAAAACGATCCAAATGGGCTCAAGAGCTGGACACCGGGGGCTTTTTGGAGTCCCGCTCGCTCGCTCCGCGCGTTCGGCGTGAACGGCTCGCAGTTCGCCTCTCCCCTCAGTTTCGGCCGTCCAACGTGTTGGGGATCCGGAAGTCGGCAGATGTCCTCGGCCGTCGACTCCTTCCGCTGGATGTCCGAAGAAGGACATTGTTGGAGTCCGGGGCCGGAAGCCGCAAGGGCCGAAAGAGGTAAGAAACCTGGAGGGTCCCGCCTCCCCTACACCCGTTCTTATTTTATTTTTACCAACGCCCAGTTATTCCATCCAGTTAGATCGATTCTGCAGTTTATGGCTGCGGCGGGCTCTGCGCGTCTCATGATTTCAAGATGCGATTGGAGAAAAAGACGAAGGGGCTGCGACCACGCGGGCGTCCGAATCGCAGGGAGCCCCGCGCCGCGATGGATGATGCCACTCGAGGCCTCGGAGAGAACTTAGGGGCATGCCCCTAGGAGCTTGGGCCCTTGAGGTTCTGTTTTCACCGGGGGTGATCGTAATTGACTGACATTCTGGAACATACTCTTGAATTTTGGACCCGCCCTCAACTTGCCCTCAAACGTCACATGTCGTATTTCAGTTCCTCCCATCCAACCGAACTCGAAATGAGACAGACTAAGGCTCCCTGCAAAGTAAGGAGCCTTCCCAACCACTGAAACCATCCGTGCGTAAAGAATTCTCTAACCCAGAAAGATGGTTTCAGTCGATGGGAAGGCTCCTTTTTCTGCAGATAGTCAGTCTATGTCCGTCTCATTTCCCCACTGGTTGCGTGTCCTCGTGGCATTTTTGTCGCACTTCGACTGCCTTACTCGTCAGGCAGCGGCTGGTGCCGACCTCGACCAAAGCTCCCAGATCAGCTCCGTGGTGGTGGACTCGCTGAGCCCCATCGAGGCGGAACGAGAGACCCGACCCAAGCACTTGGGAGATATCCTATAGATGATCGATGCATGTACAATCAATATATCATCACCCAATATCAATCAATTATATCAGGCAATATCAGGTGTATATATAATACATCGCTTTTTTTAACGTTACTTGACCTGGGGATTTGCGTCTCGAGTCCCAAGTCTGGACAGTTTTTGTCTCGAAGCAGTCGGATGAGCATCCGGATGAGCATCCGGCAGTGACTCCCAGGGCTCCTGGGCTCCGCGGGGTCTTTTGGACCTGCTTCCTGGAAGATTGGTGGCCTTTCTCCCATCAAGACTGGCAGAAGAGCAGATGTCTTCAAAGTTTCAGTATGATCAGTATAGGTCCTTCAAGGGTATTTCTCAGACAGGCACTAGTCACTGATGTGCATAGAAGATCAGAAACGGTTGATGTATGTAGGATGCATTAACCTTCATGAGCCAACAAGTAAGTCACAAGCATCAGTATGTGTAAAAACTCATCAAATATAGTACTGTAGATGGATTTGATCCATGCACTGCCATTCTAGCAGTTGCTTGATCCTGTAAACCTTTCAGCACAAAATTGCTCAGGGGAGCATGAACTGTTGGTAGATGGAGTCAGAACATTGACACCTATACCGGAAACCACTGAAATGACCTTCAGCGTACTTCGCCTCAGAACCACCGGACGGCCGTCTTTCCACTGCCTCCCTCCAGGCGTCCGCATCTCCGAGTCGCGGTACGGACGCTGCGACGCCTTGAGTCGAGTCGCGGCCAAAAACCGACGGAGCGGTTCCGGTTCGTCCAATGGGCTGAAGCGACCTGGATGACTGAGATGAGAATGTGGGACTGAGAAGTGACCTTTGGGTGGAGCCCAAGTGACCTGTTTGGGGATGCCATGTGAAATTGTTTGGGATCCTGAAAGAGGACGTGGAACCGTTGGCCCTGGGTTTGTCATGGTTCAAAGGCAAACGGAAGGGTAGTGCACAGAAAGGGTTTTGCAAAAAACCTACTCTACTAACGTCGTGGAAGGCGCGTGACCTTCGTAGAACCCAAGGCTGTTCGTGGACAATTCGTGGAATGGTGGGCCAGTAGGAGAACTGACTGCAACGAAATCCCAGAAACCTTCGCAGAACTTCGTGGAAGGTATTTTTGATGCACTAATTTCGTATAAGCGATTTTTGCTGACCCCCTTTCTCCACACACCCTCCGTTTAGCCTTGAATGGTTTGACCACGTTGTGTTCATTTGTTTTCTATTAACAGGCGTTGCCGCTTAGCTTCCATGATGGTAAGAAGGAGGGCACTTTGCTTTGCATGTGTTGGGTCGCTGCTAACCCTACGATATCTGATGCTTTGGACTCGATGGATGCTTTAGGTAATATGTTAGGTGGTTCCAAGACATCGTAAACCTGGTTTCTGTTAGAAAGGCCCTGTCAAATGGACGAGGTGCCGCTTTTTACGAAATCTTGAGATCTAATCTATTCTATATATTCTATACAAGAAGGATCAAGAAGGTGCTGGTTTGAACATCTTCTTTTTCGTTTGCTCTTGCGAGATTTAGGGAACAAATTCTCCGGCAGTTGTGGGGATTCAAAGCAAAACCAATAGCCCACTGCTGGACTTGATGTGGCTTGCTTGACGTGGTTTAGCCCGTCCATTTCAATGATTCCCGGTACATCTCTCTCTCTCTCTCTCTCTGCCACCACCCCTTGACTCGGGTGGTTCGCCCCCTCGCCCCAGCGGCTCGCGCCGCGCATCCGCAGGGCATCCGGAGCGCATCCAATCGCTCCACGACTCGGCGGAGGCGGAGTGCAGACTCGACGGTGGAACGTTCACCGGTTGCTCCGTTCGTAGCGTCCATGCTCCGTTCGTAGGACCGGCCAGGAGCCCCGTTTTTTAAAAGCGTCCTTTAATAGAAACGTACACGAAAACAAATGATGGGGTTCAGTTGGGGGATTTCTAGATCAAGATTTAGGCACTTAATTTTTTAAATGTCAATCCTGGGCCGCTAGTGATTTGGTGGGGTTACAGTAGTTGATCCGCAGGTCACACATGGGTGTGTGGCCTATCATGGTTGCGATGCATTTGGAGAGCCACGAAGTGTCAAACAATGTGCTACTGGCCCTTCAGGCAGGGCTGCCTGTAGTGTTCCCATTTCAAGCATGCAAGAGGAAACTCCAAGTATACACACCATCTGAGAGTTGTGAACCCAGACATATCCATATCCAATCATATCTATCGTCATGATCATCATCATCATCATCTCCCTTTTTTTGGAACTCCGTAGTGTTATTTTTTTAGACCTCTGGACTTGCCTCGCCCTCTCTCTCTCTCTCTCAGGGCGCTGCTGAAGGCTTACAACTGGCGCAGATGGCCCTGCAACAGGTGCAGATGGCACCAAACGCCGGGGGTGGCTGGGCCCACATGACTCAGCGTGCGACGGGCATCCCCTCAAAGCATCCCAATGAAGGCCCCAGGCAAATGTTCCATACATTGAGTATCATTGCGTATCATTGGGTCTACTTGATGTTCCAGGGGTCCCTGCCTACTAGTTGCCGGTATGTATTTACTATATAATACAGTGTTCGATGTTTTATTGTCTTTTTGTTCGGTCATGTTTCTAAGCATTCCAGCTGTGGATGGCCCGTCCACAGCCAGTGGACGGCACAGCCAGTGGACGGCAACATTTTAAAGTTGCGTTTGAGACACCATGTCTTGGCAATTGCTGATTGCAAAGATTTGATCACCGTCAGGTTATGTTGAGTCTTGGGCACAATTCTTACAGAAAAGCAAAATCAAGCAGTAATCCAAGACATCATGCTGTCAACAGTTTGTGTTAGTTCTTTATGCTCATTCAATTTATCCACAGCAAGCCCCGAATGCCAAAGCAATCCCATGCTGTGCCATTCACTATTGAGTGCTTTTGAACCACAGTTTGGCTCCGATTCCCTGTTCCTCCCACAGAATGATCAACTTCTCAGTGCAGGTGGGAACAACACCTGCGTGTTGATGCCGCAAAGCTAAAGACAAAAGTTCAGATCCATCACCCAGTAGGACTTCCTTCACACTGGAGACGTGCCATCTATTTTCTTATGTAGATGGGAAAGGGGCGGACAACGGAAAAACTATGAAACACTCGATCACAACCTGAACAAAAACAGTCCATCCAATAGCCTTGGCCTCAACAAAGCCTAGTAAACCTCGTTGCGCGAGGGTAGCCCCTGCAGTGGGATTCGAGTGCCAGTGCTTTGACAGCTTTGCATGCGACTCTTTGGCACCCTAAGCAGATACTCACTCAACTATATAATGGCAAAATCAGGTGAAATAGACCATGGCAATATAGCTAGTCAGCTAGTCGGAAATCCTGCAACTCTCAGGTCAGGTGGTTCCACCCAGATATTGGATGCCATGAGCGACCGACCACATGGTCGCGCAACGGGGCGTTCGACTGATCATCCCTCCAGGAAGAGCAGCAGATGGAGCTCCTCCGACAAAAAGTGGCGCCCCTTGCCTTCAGAGGAACAGCTCAGGGCAAGTCACAGGATGAATTGCTCAGTTGCGCGCCGGGCACGCCAGATGGCTCTTCACGATGCTTTAAGCAAAGCTGGGTGCGAAAGCAGCTACATAGGCCCTTACTAAGCCGAGTTCTTCCAATGCCTTGTGGTCTTGTTTGGGGCAGCCTGAACTCTCCACTGCTTCTTGAGCGGTCTTTTGTTGCTACTGAATGCCTGCCAACCTTGAGTTCTACCACGACTGGTCATGGTTGACGCTTGGAGGATCCCTGGTCTGCCGCGAACTTGAAGAGAAGAAACAGACGATCACCGGGGTACATCAATATATGTTATATCATATATATATATATTTTTTTTTTGATCAACGACACGGGTGACTTAATTGCACATTCCCGGCCCTGCCCTAGGAAATTGATCCAAGGGCCTCCTGAGTTCTGGCATTCGTTCTTTAAGGCAGGAGGTATTTTTGTAGAACAACGGGATCATTTGTGTTTTGTTTCCGTGATGGTACCATCCTCCATGAACGACTGTCACAGCCACGCAACCACCATCCGAACAACAGCAACGCCGTGCCACGGTCTGTGTGGTCCACCCGCTTCCTGCGCGACGAACATCACCGCCCAGGAAGGAGAAGGTGATGCTTGAGGAGCTCCAAGGTGGGCGATTAGTGCGACCCTTTTCAGCGCAAAAACATCTCATTGTGGGGGCGGTTTGGTGGTTGTACGGGACAGTGTCAAGAAGAATCCAGCCCGTTGGAGCAAGGACACAAAGTTTATGCCCCTTTTGAACGTGCTCTTCCGAAGGAACATTAATTAAACGTGATTCACGTGCTTTTGGGGTCAGTGTAGGTGGTCCAATGGTGCCACTAGGGATGCCATTGCTGTGGATGTCTGGTGGTGAAGCCGCTGCCTGTGAGGCCTTTGCTGGAGGCTGTGCATGTGATGACATTGGTGGCCCTGTGGTTTCTAGGCTGCTGTTGCCTTTGCTGGTAAAGCCCCTGCAGGACAAGAGTGTTTATGTGGATAGTACTGCATATTATAACAGTCATAAACATCAACACGCCTCCAGCCGCCCAATGATAACTTGTGCCATCTCTGAAAACACTACCCTCCGGCAGATAAAAACACATGGACCCTTTATCACCCACGTCGGGTGGTAGATGAGACTAGTTGACTAGTATATAGGAGGTCCATTTTCATGGTGCCATGGGATCGTCTGCACGGCGGGGGCATTGACTGTGGGGACGTGTTCCGCCGATCCGCGGCGAAGAGTCGACCAGGTGAGTTGCGAAGTCGACAGGTGCCGCGCCGGACGCCGGGTCTGGGGTGGGGGGGGTAGAGCGAAGTCAGATTTGCCATTGTATATTCCCAAGTACCTAGGGAAAGACACTCCCCTAGTGAAAAAAACACCACCATGTCGGAACCCCCTAAATCGTTGTTGTTATTAAATTAACGGCCTTAAGAACCACTACAAAATTTAGTTTTGCTTAATAGGGCAATAGGGGTGCCGTGTTTCTTTAATAGGTGGAGGGGATTATTGTGCTGTCAGTGCCAACGCTACAGCATCCCAATGCTCCATCCAGCACGACAAAGGATCTAAGTTTGTAGTGTTAAATGCACTTGTAATTATGCTCAAACTCTCGTAGACTCTATTCGGTAAGAAGTCAGGTCATAGTCCAGAATGCGCAGCAGACTATAGCAGCCCAGCAGGGGCTTGGTCTTAAGTCATGTGTTGGCCAAAGCTTCCGCGTACCGCGCTGCCCTTGGTCAGGCGCACGCACTCCACGAGCGCAGCTTGCGGGCCAAACATATGCGCCGGGAGGAGGCGCAGAGAGCGCCCTCGACGTCTCGATTGCGCAGAGAGCCACGGAGCATCCGGGCGACGGACCATCGACCCACCCGGCGGTTGCGTGGAGGAGAGTGTTGTATGGGGGTGTTCGAGAGGTGCCGGCAGTTGAGCGTTGCACCGTGACATGAAGAAGAAAACGGAATGTGTGTGCCCCCCAAAAAAATATAGGCCATATATATATATATATAAGGTTTGCCAACGCTTTTTCACTGCAAACGGCCTGCCTGCCCACAGTTCGTAAGGTGGGAACAGGGATGGAACAGGTCCACATTTCAACGCCGGATTTAGCAGATGTATCTCCACAATGACGTGTCCGTGTTTTGTCCGATCTTAATTTAAGTTATATAATATATAACTTAAAACCTCCCTTTGCTGGCCAATTGGGACCGGCGGAATAGAATGTGCTCCACCGCAACCATTCCAGGGAGTTCTGGCCTAAAATAGTTGTCGTCGCCATAGTAAGCAAGCATTTCTTGGCAAGGGTTCCAAACCTTTGTGCCAATTCCATCTCCACAAGTAAGAATTTACTTAGTTCGCAGGGTGCGACTGTGCGACGATCGGCTATTGAAAAACGGTCTTCATTGCACAGCAATGACTTGTGAGTTTGTTGGAAAGGCTTTCAGGTCAGAGTTCTAGCATTGAAGCACAACCTGAAAAGAGGCCAAGCAAGGATCTTTCCAAGGCAACCAATATTTGAGCAATGGAAAGCCCAGCCAAGCTCCAAACCTTCGTTCCAGCCCCACCAGCGCAGTTCATATCCCGGCGTGCGACTGTGCGACTACCCCTTGACACATTCTTTGGGGCAATGACTTGGATGAGTTTGACTGCGGAGTTGTTGACGTCAAAGGTCCAGGATGCCATCGAAACCGCTCAGAGCGGTTTGCGCGGTGTGCGGTTGGTGGGCAGTGCTTAGCTACTGATTGATGAATGCTGGTAGGACAAAGACTTTAGGCCTTCCAACCACCGAAACAATTTTAAGGGTTGGGAGTATTGTCAGGCAAGGGAAACATGGTGGTATATTTATATAGCTTATATAGTACACCCATGGGGTCACCCATAACCAACGTGAAACAAGATAGACAAGATCGAAACGGATGGGTGGAGGATTCCCCCGGAATGGTTCCAAACGGGTCCATGACGTGTCCGCTCCGGAGCGCCTTCGGACCCGAGGCGCTCCGGGAAGCCATTGAGGGCGCACGCCAGGAGCAAGAGGCCAGGACCTGAGTCGGAGTGGTCGTGGTCTTTGTTCGTTTCGGTATGTTGAAGAAGTGGGCGATTGGTAGATCATATAGGTCATCCCTTCATCAAATGGTGGCTATAGGTCTTTGATAGGTTTGGCTCACCAGCTGACTTGTTGGCATGTCCCGCACTTCTTGTTTAAAGGCAGGGTTCCGCCTTCATCTCCTGTCAATGCACCACCAAGAAGGCACCTCAGGAAGTGATTCTGAGGTGATATGTTAATCAATGTGAATCATATTATGTAACCATGCCTCAAGATCTTCATTTATTCAAGTTGTTTTTGTAGCATGTTTCTAGTCAAGCAATTGCTTTCAGCAACGTTCCGTTTTCCTTTTTGTGCTTTGCGGCCCTTGGGTGTGCGGGCAACCAAGGCAGGTGGACCGGACCAGCCATCCGACCAGCCTTTCCCCGGTGACGCGTTGTTGGAGCACACTTTGCAGCAGATGAACCGAAACTGAATATACTCCTAGTAGCTTCTTGTTACTAGTAGTAAGGCCAGGAGCTACGTTCGTAGCGTCCGATCGCTCCGTTCGTAGCGATGCCCTTTGTTACGTTCGTAGCTTCTTGTTCCTAGTAGTGATGGCCTCCAACCTACTTGCGATGGCCTCCACCTTTAATAGCGTCCTTGCTACCGAAAATGAATATACAGATCCCCAAATAGATAGAAAAGTAGATCCCCACTAAAAAGGTATGGAAAACCGTGCCACTATCGCAAAAAGGACCTGTGGGTCCCGATCAGTTTCCTTTAGGCCAGTGTATTTGTTGATCACTCCATGTGTTCGACTGAGAGCCCATGGAGAGCCGCCTTCTGAACGCCTCCCTTCAATCAATGTTTCTCTCGCAATTTGTGGGACTTTTTTAAGACTCTTTTTGGCTCTTGAAGCTGTGCGGCCTTGACATGCCTTGACATGTCTCATGGAGTAATTGTGCTCCGGTTGCCGGCCACGGATTTTTGGTCTCAAGCGGAAGGGGCCGCAGAAAGCGACGACTCAAAAGATCTCAAAAGGCTCAACCAATGCACCGACTTAATGCCTCCACCTGAAGACAAGTTGATAATGAACCAGTTGAGTCCAGCATAGTTTTTCTTAAAGCTGGGCCACTCTCCCCGAAAAGAACTCCCAACTACTGTAGATGCAACTGCAGCATTGTTTGCATCTGTTTTTGTTGCATAGTACTGACGTGCGGGGCCATCTCACAAACCAGCCCTCGACCCCCCAGCCCCCCTCGAGGACCTCAAGAACCAAGCTCCCACCCGGCAGTCCCACCCGCAGTCCCGGTGAGGGATGCGCAAAGACACCGGCGCTGGCCATGATCGACCGCTTGGATGATCTCCGTGCCGCCTGCGCCGCGCACCACGCCACGCGCGGCGCGCGCGCGGCGCGGAGCACCGCAGCGGGCGCGGTGCCGCTGCGCTCGCCGGAGCCGTCGCCGCCGCCGACGCCGCAGTGGCTTGGCCGGCAAGAGGAGCTGGTAGGAATCAGGCCTATAAGAGCAATTGGAGAGGCACCAAGGCATGGGTAAAAGGCTAAATTGAGGTCATGCAAAACGTCCCACTTGTTCCAGAAATCAACTAACATCCGTTTCCCCCTAGTTCCCGCTTTCCCATCCAGTGGAGGGACCAATCATGCAGATGCGACCAGTTTAGGAAACCCAAGAGCCTCTTCTGGTCTTGGAAAGCCTGACCTGATGCTGCCCGGCCCCCCATCCGATGGGCGTCGTTGGCAGGATCCCCTCAGCCTTTCGGCGAGAAGATCCCCTCACAGCCTTCCTGTCCAAGCTGGAGAACGTGCGCACAGGACCACTCCACGAGTTGGAAGGCTAGCCAAAGCCGCTCGGAAGTGGGTTCGGTCGGGTTCGGCTTCGGAAGAATTCAAGTGGAACCTTTGGTCTCGTTTGTGAGGTCATGGGTTGTTGTTTTTTCAAATCATGCAGCTAGATGCAGCAAGTCATTCAGATGAGCTCATAGACTTAAGTAGGAGTCTTTTTGATCATTTTGTTTGTTTCAGGGTCCAGAGAGGGCTATTTCTTTTTCCTATAACTGCCTTGAGCTTCCAGTGCTTCTCCGGCCCCCTCCCTTTCCAACGCTGCTGCCGGGCGCCAGGCTCCTTGGGCGAGGCTTCGCAAATCCACAAGGCCGCGCTGTGCGCCACCACCGCAGCAGCCGAGAAGCAGGCGCGGCACGGCGCGGTGATGCCTTGGGCCAGTGGCGGTGATGCAGGGTGGCGAGAGAAATGATTCAGAACTTGTCAAAAGTATTGGCATGGCTGGGAATCCATGTTCCATTGACGCAATTCGTAAAGACTAGGGGTCAAATTTGGCATCTAGACTATGCTCCAAAGGTGGCCAGGGTCAAGCCAAGCTAGTTACCCGTCTTATAAGTAACTATACATCTACCACATACCATATATCACCCATTTTGACCAACATGGACCCTGAGGTTTGACGATGCTTCACAATTCCTTTCACACATCAAGCTCACATCACTCCAGGCCTGACAAGTGTATGACAACATCAAGGAACGGAGAGCACAACTCACATAAAGCAGGGTCATGACTTTCCTCTTTACTATCTAACATAAACATATGGCCCTCTTGGCTGACATGCTGGCTGTGACACGTTCAACATTGGCTGAAATTCGAGCCGGGCGGTTGTAGCGTGAGGCACTTCTTCAGGCAGAGGCCTGCGCTGCGAAGGCCTCCAAGGCAGCTGCCAGGACGGCACTATGCTGCACTGACTTCATTTGACTTGCAATCATGTCTTGCTGGAGTCATTTGGCTTGGACCCGCAAGGAATCCGCAAGGAATCCCTGTAAACAGTAGGTAGTGGCCCGGGTTATCCTCTTATTCATCTTGATTCTACCCTGTGGGTGCATCAGACGAACAGGGAGCATCTCAGAAGGTCAGGCGCCACCAGGCACCACAAAAAGATGTGATTTCCACGCGTTGGGTTCTGTTCCAATTGGTGGATTGCATAAAATCCGCCATCAAACTCATCTCAAATTCCACTGACCAAAAGAGAACAGACCATGATAACTTGCGATGGGTTCGTTCTATTAGAAACATCCACCCAACATCATCCACCCCATCCCCCGGCCCAAAACCAAAAAAGCACACCCAATGGAAGCTCGGCCGAGCTCGGATCCTCCAGGACCAGCCAGGAGCTCCGGAGCCTGGCCGCCGAGCCCAGCAGCGGCGTTCTTCCCGGCGGCTCGGAGGTGGGTGGTGCCAGGTCGTTGAGGATGGAATCCAATAAAGCTTGGAGGGTTGGTGTATATGGGCGTGATAGTGATGGTTCATGACATAGATGGCGGATAATCAGTGAAGACGAATCATATAAATGTAGATAATGTAGACTCTTGATGAATAGCCCCCCACATTAAATTGGACATCCTCTTCATATGAGGGATTTATCAAGAGTCATCAAGAGTCTACATTACGCCCGGGGTATCCTGTTGCCTGGAACGGTCAGTAAACAATGATCATTCTTTCTGGACAAGGCCTTCATATTCTAACCATCATCATCCACGGCTACTGGTAATAGAATAGACCGACCCAACATAGACGGAGACACTCATATATTGGGATATTATTGGACAAATTGAATGCCATTGCATGGATAATCATGGATATATTATACCTCATATATATAATCTATTGTAATCTGTTCACGGTAATATTGAAGCATATGAAGGATAAGACATTCCGACAGAGCCATGGAAGGCATCTCCCAGCCGAGCCTTTCTACCCGGACCGAACGGGGTATGAGCTCGGCTGGCTCCGCCTCTCGTTTTCGCCAGGCTGCTCTTCGACGACAGGCCCTGGCAGGTGTTTCGGTGCTGTTTCAGCTGCTTGGAGCAGCGTCTATGCGATTTCTGTTCTTTTGTAGAATGGTTTTTGTTTTTTAAAGAAAGCTTCTTAATTACATCAAGATGCGCGAACTTGTGCCAAGCACACTGAGAGGGGATGTTGCAGGCTGTGCGGCTTTGCTTTGATGTCCGTGATTTGGATGCCTCGGCGTTTGAATCGAAGAATAGTAGTGACCTGAGGAATGCGCTGAACAGCTACTTCCAAGCTCAGGCCTGCTCACGGGAGCCCGGGAAGGAAGCAAGAATGTGTTGGTGTTTGCCTGAACAGGTCTTTTTCGGGACTCCAGAGCGGGTGGAAGGTTCGAAAATGGTGTTTCTTGTCGAATCTTGATATCTCTGCCCGGACATGAAGTGCAAAACCTTTTCAGGCGGCTTTTCGGGTTTATGAATCAAGAGTCTACATTAGATTGATCACAAAATATAATATATATATAAATTATAGTTGAGATATGTTGATATCCCTGCTGCCTATTGCTGTCTCTGTGGTGATGGGAAGGGCCCTGCACATTCTTACGTTTGCTTTATTGCATGTTTGGATCCCCCATGACGTCTGACACGGTCAACTGCTGAATGCGATGATAGCTATCGAACGTCATTGAGGACTTGAACATTCTACAGGTTGAGGCAATGGGAAAAGAGGCCCATCGAATTGATAAGTTGCTTAGATGCGTGTATCTTTCGTAGTATTGATTTGTGGACCTGGTTTGCCATTGAATAGTGAACCTTGCTGCTTGGGCACTATGTTGCAACCCGCTTTTCAGCTGATCCATTGACCTAACAGAGGGTCAGCCCCCTAACCGTACCACGAAATGCCGCAACTTCTAGCGGCGATCAGTTCAACGACAATAGTCTCAAAGTGTTCTGGAAAGTCTGGGAAATCTACACAGTAGTTTTTGTGTTTTTTACATATTCCACCCTCAAACGTCAAGTCTTTTCGTCTCAAAGATCCTTGATCCGATGGCCACACGGCCAGTTGTGCCAACCGCCTGACCCTTCGGGGCTGGGAGTCGACTCGGACTCGGCGCAGGTGTCCTTTCGCCAGGAAATGGAAGCCAAGGTGGGGGGGCGCAAGGGAGGGCACCACTGGGCAACGCCACCACTGAGCAGATTGATCGTATGCGTCTTTTTTTCCAAGATTAAAGAAAGACCGATTTGTCCTTGTACAATGGGGTGTCGGATATGGATGGATGACACGAGATGTTCATAGATTTTCGAGGTAAACCATGGTATAGCCAAATGAATCGACGTGCGACTTCTATTGATTTCCCCACATGTTGGTTGAATGCCTCTGGAAAACCGGCCCGAAGAAACATGAAACGATTTTCGCATTCCATCCGAACCCTGTTCCGGAAGGTCTCACGGCAGCTGCGAGCAGCTTTCCCAGAGGCGGAGGAGTCGGTCGGGGCCCAAGCGATGCATGCGACACGGACAGGTACATGCCGCGCTCAAAACGAGTGCAGAATATTGAAACAAATTGTGCAGGGTTGAATATGTATGCATTACACTCTACAGTAGATATCGATTTCAGACATTGGTGTGATCCTTGGCCAATTTCCTCATGTTGTTTTGCGTCAAAGCTACTCCAAACATCTCCGAAGATCTCCGAACAGGTCATGTCGTGCCTTCGCTTTTGATAGCTTCATGTCTTCACACCCCGGCCAGCGTTCTGCACAAGCCGGGGGCGCTGTGCAGAGCCCTGCCCAAGCAGTTTTGAGGTCGTGGAAGCGGTGGCAGCAGGCGAGGAGAGTGAGCCGAAATGGGGTTGTGAGAATCCATCCTTTGCTGCAGACTTGTCATCAGTCAAGCAATTTCACAGGAATGCAATCATCATCATCATCATCATCATAATCATCATCATCATCATCATCATCATCATCATCAGAGTTTATCCTGTGAAAGTCTCATGACTGTTCTTATCCCCACGAAGATGATGGATTCCATATAAGCACTGCTGCAGATCTCATGACCTTGACATCTTCGAAACAGCGCAAGTCGCGCCGCGCCGGGCAGGTCGCTCTGCTGCCTCCACCATCCAGGAGGCCATGCAACGACAGTCAGGCGTGAGGGCCGTGTGTCAGGCCATTGGCCGTGATACTGAGGAGTAAAGGTGGATAAACATGTTTGTGGAACACGTTATAGCGGCTTCAAGAGTAGATGGCACTGGCAGCCCACCATGCCTGTGATATAGGTCTAAGGCTAAGGGGTCCATATAACCATATGTATACCATCAAGCTTGGGGTAACTTGTGCCATCTCTGGAAACCACCGTCCCAGTGACTGCGAGTCGAAACAATGCCTGTTCCAGAGTGGAGATTCTTCAGACCAATGACCAGACATGGTCGTAAATGTGGAAGATGTTGTTAAGTGCGTAGTGAGCCTTGAAAAAACACATTGTAATGAATGGTGATTATTGTGAACATTTGTGAGTCGTGGAAGATTCACAGGGAGGCTGGCTGTTGGAAATGAGACCTCGAGCCAAGGGTGGTAGGAAGGGGTTTGATGGTTGCAACATATGGCCGGTCCAATGCTTTGTGAAAAATAGGGTTTGGATGTTCAAAATTATGCTATGTTGGAATTGCTCCAATTTCTAAAATTCTAAAATTTACCCTTGGGTGGTCTACAAGGTATGCCCAGTTGCAATGGCTCCTTTCTGCTCTATAAACCTTGACTTTGCTTGCTTGCTTGCTTGCTTGCCTGCCTGCCTGCCTGCCTGCCTGCCTGCCTGTTTGCCTGCCTGTTTGCCTGCCTGTTTGCCTGCCTGTTTGCCTGCCTG